CCGCTTTAGGGACGTTGGTATACATCGAATTGACGTCAAAACTAGCCAGGACTTCGTCTGGCTCTATCTGAAACCCAGCTACTTTTTTCTTTAGCAAAGTCATACGAATCTTGGATGTGTGTGGGTGACTTGCCGGCAAGTGGTTTAAGGATACCTGCTAGATATCTGGCCAGCTCATGTGGTGGTGAACCTATGCCATCCACTATTGGTCTTATGGGGACACCTTGTGAATTTTCGGTAACCCGTAAAGGCGTGGTTGGATTGCACTTTTTGGGTACAATCGATACCACTTGCCTTGCCCTAGATGGCTTATCACAGATCTTATATACCTCGCAACTTCAACTTTACTCTTATTCATGATTGACGTGATCGTTCCGTTACTAATTTGTCGGTAAGGACCATCAGCTATGTGTTGTCTAACTTTCTGAAGATAGTCACTCTTATTCATGACGACTGTGGCCTTACCTTTATCCGACTTTGTAATTACTATGCTGTCTACATTTTTTAACGTGTTTAGGGCTCTTCGCTCAGCTGGTGCAATGTTTGGAACCCATGGTTGCTGGGACTTCAGGACTGTGACCAACTGTACACGTAATTTTTCCGCTTCCGTTGAAGGAAGCTTCTGGAATACAGACTCAACACTAGGGATGATCTCTTCTGCCCTTATAACGCCTTTACTTACTGCAAAATTCAATCCTTTCTCTAACAGACAACGTTCCTCTTCACTTAAGGATCTATCTGATAAATCGACTATGCTACAATAGCTAATGGATGACTTACTCTTCTCTGCTGTGCTACTAGAACAGCGAGTGGTAGAAAGCAATTTCTCGAAATTACGTATTTGCCTGTCCTTGCACTGTTTACCTTGAGTTGCTTTCACTTCCTTCGCTTTGTTATCCAGTAATTCGAATTCAGCAGGCGAGAGTGTGGACTGAAGATCATGGTTGAGTTCATTGTTGACTGCAAATTCTAGCATAATATCAGTTGTGACGACGAGTTTTGCACATATCATATCACCTAAACTTCTTATTAAAGGTCAGCGTCAAGTTAAAAGGAATTGTAAACCATATGGTACGCGAACCTACCTAGAAAACCAAAACGTTTATAATTGTGAACGGTTCCGAATAAGAACACACTGAGGGCGTTAAATGCGTGATTCGGAGCGTGATGCTGAAGGAGCTGCACAATGTAGGATGTGGAAGGGAAGTCCATAATTTGGTCGTCGTAGGAAATTTTGAAGCAGATTGAATTTTGGTGCTACCGTTGTTTTAGACACTCATTTCTTGCGACAGCTTGTTGTTGCCCGGCGCTGGCTAGGATACCGCCTAGCAAACGTTTCTGTACTGCAGCCCTTATTACAATGACAGATTAAACCTGGAGTAAACCACTTGCGGTGATCCTAGTTTTTTTCACTGTCAAGCAGAATACTTTTAAGAGCGGAGAAACAAACACATGTGGGCTTAATGCTTTCCTCAGGACGCCATCAGTGTCAGTTAACCGGTGTAACACAATCTAATCTAAGACAGAATTTCGGTTGCTCTAACTTGATCGTTCTGGAAAGAAGTCGAGTACGTTGGTGACCGTTTGTGGCTGCGCGAATGAATGCAATGACACAGTGCGTATTGGTCGGTGTGCTCAACTAATCGCGACTGGTGCAGTAACGCTCACGTAATAACTAGGGAGTGATTTATTCTGGCCAGTTTGTGACTTAGTCAAGCAACTACTCGCAAGTCACCAAGTCGTTTATATCAACTCGTCATTCGTACTCACGGAGAACCAAGTCGTGGCTGTGAAACATAAATGGACTGTAAATGTGCGATCGGTTTTGACTGTTGCTTTCTACAAGAGCAGAGCAGGTTAACTGTAGCGGAGACGCATCGAAGAATTACTCTATCCTCGCTTACTTTGTGGCTTTTGTCTTCTCCGTGAAGACGACTCAGTTTCAGTGCTGTCGCGGATCGCTCCTGTCAATGATTTATGAACCACCGCAACATTGACGCAGTGTTGACAGAACGCCAGTTTCACTGACGAACATAATTGGGGGCGTGTGATTCACGGGGCGGTAATCGTTTTGACGACTGATATTCAAGTTTTCAGTTGCTCTCCAATCCTCATCCATCGACAACAGAGGTGGATTCGTTGCCTGAATGTTGGAATTGTGCAGGACGTATCTGAAACCCTGCAGACAGAGGAGATGACGGTACTCCATATTTTCTAGATCCGATCGGTTGTTTACTCATTTGGGGCTTTTTCCCCTTGGCTGTAGATGGATGAGTTCTACCTTCTAGGCTTGTCTAGCAATAGATTGCTATGCAAGAATTTGAACCATTCGTTACATACAAGCTGATCTGATGCTAATTGCTTTCAACATTCTTCTTCTAGTGGTGGCTCTTGGGATACAATACGCTCACACGATGATATCGAGTTCTTCCGGCAACAAACAGGCGCAGCTGGCGTCATGGTTTGTCGCTCCGCAATGTGGAATCCTGCGATTTTCTCCCCCGTTTGTCCGGCGCCCACGTTACATGTTCTTATCCGGGAATATTTGTCCCTTGTAAGTACCTTGTCTTTGAAATTATGACGTTAATGAGGACTCATTTAAGGCCTCAATCCGATTGGACGTGCTGCGCAAAGAGCGCCTCGTGTTTTAGCTGGGTGAGCATTCAAGATATTGAAGTACTTTCTTGATACGATGCTTCTCATAAGGTTGACCAGCTTTGATTGACACCACTGACACCGTTAGTTTTATCTACGTTACGTGAGAATTGGTTTCAATGCTAATTTTTTGTATTACTTCCGTGTGCACTATCTGCTGACACCGGGAGACGATACAGCCCAGCCCATAATCTAGTCGCCAGGTGGTCCGCCAAACCCACGCTTCTCGTTAGTTCGACCCTCTGTTAATCTTCAAACCAGCAATTCATTACTCCACATTCTGATCTGCTTGACGAAAGATAAGCATACAAAGCCTTGTTTATTTTCGGTTAAGATAATTTGTGGGCTCCCAAATTATTTGCTACCGACCTTTGTAGTATTCCGAAAATTCCGATTTAGGGTAGGAACAAAGGTGGGCTGACGAACATGTTTTTGGCAAGGTCTTTTCAAGTCATATAGTTGCAAAGACTAAGGTTGCAGTGTCTAACATAGTTTAACATGGAGCATTGTGTACATGAATGGGAAGTCGAGTGAGAGACGACATTGGCTACCTTTCAAGAAATAACTGGTTCCAGTCACCTGAGTTTGTCAATACAGTCAATGCTGTGCTTGTGTTCAGCACAAGGTGTGTTTATGGGAGAGATGAGTTGAACCATGGCAAGTACAACATGCGAACACGGCGTTTTTGCCAACAAAAGAATCAGGTCGCGATATCATATGACGATAGCTCCAGCCACTGCGATTATGCGTTGCTGTACCGATATGGGTTGTTCCAAGTGCTTCACATAATGAACTTGTCGGGGAACCCGTTTTCTCAGAATCGTAAGAGTTACGATTTCCTGTTCCAGCGTATCAACAGAGCATATTTTCTCCGCTCTGTTAGGCTGTGGATCAGATTCCGTTTCTGCTTTAGTGACACGAAGCTGGTAAAGTTGATATATTTCACGGACCAAGTGGGTTTTGTGTAAACCGATCGTTCCAGTGTACTTTCGTGACGTCGTTCAAGGCCAACATCAGGGAAGAGGAAGAAGTTATCGGTTTCTTCTTCCGAGATGCATTGATTGGCGGTGTGGGTCTTATTAAATTCTTGTTGGGGCAATTTCATCTCGGTTTTATTGTTAAGAACTTTGAAAATGTCGTCCACGTATCGGCAGTAGAGTTGTATCGTCTTTATGCTTGCTTTAAGGGACTAGCATCGAACCCAGTGATGAGACCATGGGGACAACATCGATTTGACGATAGAACGTGCTACTGAACAATAGTCGCACATTCAGTTTGCATCGCAAGAGGAGTTCTCGCAATTCGTTAACTGGAATTGGCAACTACAAGTTCGCTTCCATGTAATCACATAGGTAGTTAACCGTTTCAATCAAGGGGGAGTTAGTAGATATTGAAGTCACGTCCAGTTAACGAATCCTTCAGTTCCATGTCCTTAAATTGTCTCTTAAATTGTACTGACACTTTTTTTGGCGTATTGGTTCCAGCATTTTGATGAGCCACTGTGCGATTTTTTGATAGAGCGAGTTGGGCATGTCTAGAATCGGCCCCAGTGGGCAGATGGGTTTATGGATTTTCGGCAAGCCACATAGGCATGGCGTTGTTGACCCAGTGGGTTAGACTTTCTCATAGGTTGTCTTAAAGATCAAACCGTTTGCTTTAAGGCGTTTCAGGAATGTTACCAGTTGTTGCTTTATCATGAGCGTTTTATCTTTGTCGTTGACTGTCTGACTGAACTTGGTTGTGGTCGCCGGAATGTCCGTCATTTTGCGTGTATAATCAGTTTTATTCATTACGACCATTCCGGTCCCTTTGTCGGTGCGGCCGTTGATGAGGTCATCTCGAGCATATAGCTCTTTCAATAAGTCCATGTGTTTTTTGTTACGATGCACTGACGGTCGAATTTAAAACAGGTGTATTGATAATAGCAATTGACGTAGTCCAACTTGCAATATTCTGGGTTGGTTTGACTAATTGGGGATAGTTGTCAGAGTTCTTCAGGATGTCTAGCCTATCATGACCTAGTTTTTCAAGTTTGGAGGTGGAACGTGCGGCGACATGCCCCTTGTGATTCAAGCCATTCTAGTGTTCCTACGGCAAACCACTGTTAGGAAGTTAACCTCTGGTCGGGGTCTGTCACCACCCTCTCTCTGCGGGTTTCACTTTCCTGCAGTATCCCAGTTGTTTTACGAACATAAGTTGCACAGAAAGATGCTTCTCACACTGTTCGTTGTGTGATATAAATAGCCCTGACTTCTTATCTGTATCCTCTCGTAAACGAGAGATTCAGCTGCGTTCCAGGTGAGTCCCTCGCCAAACCAAGTTTGTTTGCAAATTAGTGTATTTCGCTAATTTTGCGCAATTTGGGCCCATAAGGCTGACAGAAACTCGTTCACTGCGCCTACTTGATGAGCCCCAAGAAGAACGAAACTGGCCATGGGGTGTCGAAGAATTTTCAGCAACCTTATGAGTAGTACATTACAAAGATATACATGTATCAAGATATTTCAAATATCGTAGCGACTGAAACATGAGGCGGCCTGATGCAGCGCATTCAGTCGCCTGAGAAGATCTTAAACGAGAGATTCAGCTGGGTTCCACGTGTGTCTCCCGGGAAAACCAAATTAGTTTGCAAATGAGTGTATATTCGCCATATATCCACTTTACTTAAAGGACTAAATAGCGACTAAAATTCCAAATCCCCTCATATCGTCAACAAGCTAGCAAAGTATCAGCATTTCGAGTTAGTCCCGCACAGCTTTTGGTCTGGGCTGTGTAGTCTATCACCAAACCTGACGATGAGGTGAACCTCAATCCTCTGGTTTAAATTCGACCATAGAGGGTATTAAGATTGACCCAACTGCCAACTTTGGTACACCGAGGAGTTTACGCTCATCATTGTTTCTATACGTGATGTGGAGATTTGAGGTTAACCACCCAAACAACTCGAAGGACAATGGGACAATGAGGAGCAATAACAGTAAGCTGATTCCTATGCTACGAAAGAAGTCACGGTATCTGCATAGGGTAATCCGCAGTTGCGAGAATGTGCGCATTGTGGCTCCGATGTTTATTTAGCATTCTAACAGGCTCAAATAAAGAGGGTTTTATTTGAACTGCAGAAGGATATGATACATTTGGTCTCTTGCTTCAAAGGCTATTCGTTTGCCACATATGAATAAGAGCTTGTTCCATCCCCATCCAAGTAATGGTACCTTCTTTCAGAAGAGGTTGTTTGGAACGTGTCGTACACATTGTCCTTAGTTGAAGACAGGAACCCCTATGCCTCGACTCAACTGGCATTTTAAGCAATCCCATATGTTCATGGCACCTAACCGCCTTGTATAGTATTAAATTTCTTAGAGGTACTCCTCACGACAGTCACCTAACCACCTGATACGCTTTATCACTCCAGTTCTGTGGGTTAGTTGCCCGCTTTCGCGGCCGGATACTTGCCACAGTCCAGTATGCATTGAAGCTCTGCTCGGTGGAGATTCCCTGTATTGTATTATTCTGTGCTCTTTATGTGCTTACTCCCTCGTTTGATGAAAGTGGCTTCAGGTAGGTGTTTTAACTCGATTCGGTTGCGTGCGACTATGTTTAAATGCTCGGAGGTGTCCGTTGTGTACTCGTTGATTAGTGGTCAGATGCGCTCATTGTGAGGACGAGGTTGAACTCCAGTTTGGACTATGCACTGCCATCAAGGTCTATTGAACTAAGCGCTACTCAAACCTAGTGTGATTTTCCACGATAGCTTTTCAAACAGGATTTCGGTGGGTTGTACAGGTTGATTTTCTGGTACAAATCTTGTCAGTCATTAGGCCTGGCAGCAGTCTTTGTCGAAGCGAACAATGTGGTTTCATCCACGAATCCTTTATCTTTCCTGCATCTACTGAGCCAGGATAAATGATTTTTGTTGAGTAACTAGCGGATCCAGAAGCGGAGACTTATAGCATTTCATGTGTTGGTGCGTTACGAAGTCTAGTTAGTCCAGTTATAGCCTCTTTGCTTGTCCATCATCAGTCGCCCATCATTTCCGAACATTCTTCTGATATTTGCAGGCTGTCCGATACGACCATCACATAGCTGGTACAAAGTATTGCATTCAGTCAATGCTTCATCTCGAAGGGGAAACTCCACTTTTTCTGGCAACGCTGGCCGCTAAGGACCTGAAGGATTTGTGGTAGGTTTTGCTTTGACTAGGCCTAACTGTCGACATCAGATTTAATTCTCATGTCAAAATAATTCTTTGTTCGTATTTCCTTTTTGAAAGCTACTCTGCTTTATATAGCAGAAACCGTTTCTGTACTCATTTTATTTACTGAACCACGTTTCATCTCAACCTTTATTGTACGATTTTTGCCTAGCCTTCTCTTTTCCGGGTGAGGACTCCTGAAACGAGCAAAATTTCCAAGACCGAAAGTCATTTCCATTTACGGGATAGAAGTTACTTTCCAAGACACATACTTTTGAGGACAGCGTCCTGTTAGAAAATCATTTGCCACATATCTGCCGACTTCCAAGGGCGGGTTTCGATTGTCCGGAGGTGCTAACTAGCAGTCGTGCGTTTTGCCGTGGCAGTTGTCCTTCTGGATGCTGTACACGCCGTTAAATACTTGGCACACTAATTCTTAAGGTAGTATTTTGCTTATACACTTTGGCTATTCATCAGTGCGATATGACTTACTTTAACTTTGTAGCCTCACACGGAAGTAGTGTCTTTGTATTACGTTGGTGGACTTCGTTAGCCCAGACCTGATAACTTTCGAACATTTCGACGTTATTAGTCCGCCTCCTCGCTAACTCGGAACCTTGAATATCGTAACTCAGTTGTCACTTCGACCATGGCCCGAAGAACCAAAAGCGGTTTCAGAGGATCTGTGTTTGCATGGTTCTACACTTGGGAGCTGTGGCATCCGCGCAACCCAAGTGCCTATCCTGGCCCGCAGGCCTTTTCTCGGCTTCAGCTTGGTCCCACCGTCAACATGAGCCGGTTTGTGAGATTTCATGATCCAAATTAAAAACGTGTTCAAGTGTTTTGGAGTCTCCTCTGTGTTTTTTTTACCAGGCTTTACTGGATGATGTGCGGAGCGCGAATAATAACATCCAAGCGTTAAACTCATGATCACACGAATTCCTCTGTGCAGACTTCATTTTCGCCTCACAAAGGCACAACGATAATGACTTCATCCCTGAAATTCATATCCAGGTACAACGGTCTAACAAGCACTGTTTTTCCAGAATTCATTGATGCTGATCAATCCACGACATGCTTTAGTTTCACACAGGCACTACTCATCCTGTGTATGCTCAACTAGCATCTTCTAAACGTTCTGAGCTTTCTCTGTGGTAGCCATTTTCCGCACTTACATCTTTACATAAGTTTGACTCATAAATTGCTCGCATCTTCTTCGGTAAATAAATGATTTCCTAACTTTTGGGTGCATTCTTTCGTCATCATCTCCTGCGGTACTTGTGATTGTTCATTATTATTACTGAAAATTTTTCCTCTGGTGATGCCTAAAGCTTGACCGACTTGGTGGCTCATTGTATTTAATTTTCACATTACACTACTTTTGCTGAAACAGTAGTCGTTTATATGTTTTCGTGAATAGTCACACTTGGTCTGTTCCGGACGTCTACACTGTTGAAATGCAGCGTCGGGCCGGCATTCGTGATTCTGCGTCTGCGAAGCGTGTGTCTACGGAGACTGTGAATGAATTCGGCGATGCTGCCAAACGTCCCCGTATAAACGATGATCCAGAGCAATTAGATCAGAATGGACATGTGATCCGACGAAACATCCCCTATGAGCGTCGGTATTGGCCTCTCCATGGCACGTCCCCTAAACAAATTCTGTACGAATATTCTAACAAGACGCGAATTAAAGCTCCAGAATTTCATACGGTAAGTTCTGTGTTTTACGCGAACGAATGGCGTAGTTTTCGAATGTCCTCGGACTATTTCGTATCGCGGCCGTGTTTGTATATTTCCTCCAAGATATGTGTAGCATACATATCCCTATGAGTCATTTTGTGTCCTGTTTTGTACCTTCGAATGAACTATTTGTGAACAAATTAAATGGGACGAATTTCTACTTGGCTTGAAACGGTAGCAGCATGGTCGTTGGTTTGTTCACGGGGCTTAGCGATTGGGTTGCAAAGGTTCGGTCATCAGTCTGAGCCGCATTGTGTGTTGTAGGTGAAATTCCGTGGGCCTGTATAGGATGCGCCATTGCTTCCGATGAACGTTCCTATTGGGTTTTTGGTTGACTTGTTTCCTATTTCTGGTTGACGTCCAGGTTCCCGTTAGAGTTGACCTCTTCGGTCCCATCGCGGCAACATTTGTCCGCTTACCTCTTATCTATTCTCACGTTGGTTTGATGCCCCGTCCCTACTTGATGTCTTCATTAACACGACGGTGCTGCAGTGGCACACATCCAGGGTTAGTTTCCTTGTTACTTGATCAAATAGCTGTTGACCTGCCCTTCTAACTTGGCAATTGACTTGCAAACGTTCCCTCATCATTCAGGGTAAAATCATTGGTACGCACCGGAGTCAACAACATTTGAACACGTGCCAAGGTTAATTAACATATGGCAGTTAACTGAAATTGTTGTGGGTCTCCGTGCTTCTGGACGCTGGTTCGCGTGTTTTTATGCCCAGCCTTTAAAATTTCTTCTGTTCTTAGTAACTGCTGCAAGTCCAGACAATATCGACAAAGGAAAGACCGCATTGGTTGTTTGGTCTTGCTGCTGCGGTTAGGGTAGTTTTTTCTTCAAACTTATTTTTTGCAAATGCAAAACAAACATCCTAGAAGCTCGGCGCTTCTGGAGAGATTAACCTGATCCACCTAGAACCGTACCCTTTCAATTCATTACTGCACGTCAAGAACTGCTGTTTCAGTAGGATCACCGTATCGCTCTACAGGCAGGCGAACAAAGATGTGGCGAAGAAACAGAAAAATCTAAGTCTCAAGTTCACGAGGATGTTGATTAGTCAGAAAGCTAATCAACAAAGAGGGCAATAGGAATGCTTACTTCAGACACCGCTGATAAAGGGAAGTCCTGGTAGATTGGACGCAACGGAACGTTTGGTGATTGCGGAGAGGGTGAAGATGAGCGTCATTGAATGAAGATATGCGAAGTCGGAGGATATTTCTAGGTTACCCAGGCCGAGCATTGGGTGTTGTTTCGACTTTAAAATCTAACCCACGTTGCAACGGTTAGTAAGGTTTACTTGGGGCTCCTCCTTGAGACGAGGTTATAATTTCTGACTCAATTTGCTGCATGAGAATCGCATCATCATCATCGACAGCATGACATCAGTGTTCAACACCTATGCTTCACTGCCGTACAACCATGATTTATTTGAAAGCCTTATTGTAAAGAAAAGAGTAAAGGTAGATGGGGAAGGGGCTTAGTACTAGCTTACCACAATATATTCCGAGGTGCCTATACCTCCAGACATTCACTCAGGCAACCTGGATAGAAACTGACAACAAGAACGCCACTGACATCGGTTGGCAGCCATATATTGTTGTGTCTCCAACCAGGCGCACTGGGGATCACGCGGTCTCTATCCTGGAAGGCGAGTAGCACCGCATAGTCAGAGGATGCATGGAGTAAGTCATAGTTATTTTATCGCTGATAGTACTACGCACAATAAATGGTAGCACCACCAAGTTGACATGCTGTTTTCCTGGAGATAACGCTTTTCTGCCTTCACACTCCCATCGTAGAAGTCAGTACAATTTTGCCTCCAGACTGCCTCGTATTACGAGTGTTCGTTATGTGAGGGTTCAGTGCTGTTCGTCTGGCTGAGCCCCTTGCCCTTCCTGGTATGGTTGCATCTTGTGGAACAAAGTCTCAGACAATGGCTGAGACCATTGTAACGCTGAAGCTCCTGTTGGACTGGACTTCTGAGCAATTAATTTTTTCGTGCGAGGTTGTTACAGCTGGATCTCGTAAGTTCAGTTTTAGTCTTACGCTACAATGGGCTTTCCGTTGTTTCCGTCTTTTAACTTCTCTATAACATTTCCTCGTTCTATAGTATGTCCGTTTTACATTCTGTTTATCCACAGACCGAGGACCGGGAATCCCGCCTGTTCTTTTCCACAGTCCTTTTTGACAATAAGCAATTCACAAACACAAGCGGGTAAGTGGACAATCAACAATTGGGTAATGTCTACAGTGCGGAAATGTGATCCTCGAACATTAGCTGGTTGACGATAGCTTCATCATCCGCCACGTGCTACGTATGCTTTTTACCTCTTTTCCTGCGTCGGATCCTTCTGCGGTCTAGTATGCAGATGACCATCACTGTCCCTGAGTGATTGGCTTGATGGATCGCTGTAATCTAATCAGTCAATTTCCCGCGCACACCCAGCCTCCCACAAACGTAACTGAAATCTCACTTTTCCCCAGTGATCTTGTTGTCTGTCCGTATTTAGGTGCACTTTGAAACGATGCGCACACTGTCTCTCTCTCTCCCTCACACACACACACACACACACACACACACACACACACACACACACACACACACACACACACACACACACACACACTCACACACACACACCCAGAACCACAAACGTCCTGGTCGTTTTCTGATGAACCACGTCTGCTGCAATTTTATGACATGAAAAGATAACTGGCCAAAAGCTGGTACAGCACGTAGTCATTAGCCATGCATTTGCTTGATAGGAATGAAATTTTTCTATCTAGCCGATTCGTTTCTTTTTTTAAAAGCGTTTTTCTGTTTTTTTTCTTCCCCCAAGAACGACTGCACTTACCCCAGTGGGTGGTGTTTTCTGAACCCTCTGAGTTTCCTGTTATTCCCCGTGATCGCAGCTCAGACAGTTGTCGTACTCATGTTGCGGGTTGTCTTTCGTCCGTACTATGTTGGTTCCATAAAGATGCGGCTTACATTGGCTGTTTGTTTATGTGTATAACATTGGCAGAGAGGAGTAGGATTTGCTGGATCTCCGAGAGGAAAACGGTTTTATGACTTCCGTTGCTGTCTTCTCCACGAAGAAAAGCATAACGTTATTGTTTAGCGTTGCCCGTCGTATAGGAGTACTGTGGATGTCGGTTCTGTGACGTGGTCGATTGCATACGCTGGGTGGATGTGAATAGCTGATATCCGAATATGATTTACCAATCAGCAGAACTTGGTCAGCTGGACACCTGCGGATAATTGGACAGTCACAGATCGTTTTCACGGAGTCAAATGTGGTACTGCCTGCTGGTCCTTGGCGTCGATGTAAACCATGAGGGAATAGGATCGCTGGACACGTCCAAAAGCCTGTTGAGAGGGATAAAAGAATGAAGTAACATAGTGTGGCCATCGGAAGACACGGGTTACTATCCTTTCTCTTCATACGTGAATACCGGGCCGTAAATCCATTTTGGAAAATGTGAAAGTAGGGAGTGCACAATAACGCAACGCATTGTTGCACTGGCAAGATCGTATTCCTTCAAGTTTGTGTTTTTCGAACAGTAGGATGTTAAGACAGCCCTCGCAGATTTGACGAGGACCTACTGTCCATTTAGGAAGGAAAAGCAAGGCGCGTTATTCATTGACAGGCTGGAACCTATAAGTACATCAGGTTTGGGTCTTCGCCAAGCCACAAAGCCTCGGGGGATGACAATCAATGAGTGTAGGCGCAACCAACCCAGTCTGGGAAATGAAACAGAGAGCAACCCACAGACAGTTTTTCATCCAGCCTGTTGTCCATCATGAATTCCAACCTATCTGATAGGATGTGATTGATGTGAATTAGTCTCACAAGGAGAGCTGATTTTGCATCAGACTGAGCTTGATTCCACTGACTCTTCCTACCAACATGTCCACGGAGCACGAATGAGGCCTGAGCTGGTCCTTATCCTTAGGCTTTCTCTTGGCCCTGTTTACCCTCCATTTCATCCTTCGTTTCTAGGAAAAGACGGGACAGATTCTAAGGAGTCATGCTGCTAGTTGAGCTCATATGTCTTGTGCGTGATGTGAGCGTGTAGGCCGTTCATTTGACTGCCAAATATTCACGTAGGTTCTGTTTACTACCTTGCAATAGCGTTCTCGCTGAGTGGCGCGCGCGGCAATCCGGCGCTCTACTCAACTTGATGCATCACCTACGATCAGCTACGATATCTCTGGAAAAGTTGGTTAAACCTCGTTTTTACGCCATTCATGGATGGCTTTTGGCTTCAGAGGCGACGAATGTATCGCTGGTTTTGGCGTTTATGATCTGTAGGCCAATATATGGGCGAAGTGCACCGAGCATCTTGAATGACTCGTTATCTGAAGCATACACGGACACTTATAGTCACTTGACTAGCCGCGCTTGGACCCATTGCCTTGATTTAAGGCTGGAAGTGCCACCTTGATCAAAGAGTAAGTTGTCCTAGAGGCACGTATCAATTTGCTTCGTGAAACCGGTTCATCGAATACAAATTACGATGAAGGAAGCACAATATCCAACGGGATCGATGACCTTGCAATCGGACACTCGTTCTTACCTTGTTAACTCACTTTGGTTGTTGTTCATTTGAAAAATCGAAAGTCTTGTTTAAGCATTATAGGCTTGCATGATTTGGTAGTATGGTACTTTCCACCTCAAGGAAGCACTCGTGGGAGCACTTGTGGAGTACTTAGACTCCGTTTGCCTCTGTTTTTTCCAAATTTCCTGTTCTTTCTGGAATGATTACTTCAGGTGTTCAACACTAATTTATCTGTGTTTCGTACATTCCAACGCAACATGATGATGGTATGATGATAGCTAGTTCCCATAATCGAGGTCATAGTGTTTTCACCAGTGTGAACTTGAATAATACTGTATAATAAATATCGTAAGTTACCCGAAAGACATATTCTCACAATCATGGAAAGCAATGCTGATCGTTGGGACTTCGAGAAATTTTGCCATGTGCTTTGCTTCATTCCATCCCTTTTAACTGTGAGCTGTTCTAACGAACCGTGCTGTCTGTACCCACGGCTAATTCTTTGGCGTCGGCAAGTTAAGCTCGGTAAAAAACAGCTCACTACTGGGATGAGTTGGTGTGTCAGCTGCGGTTCTGACACAGACTCTTTGGAGTGATAATTCATCTTCTAGAGCATTTTTTTTGTGATACTTTCTCTTGGGGCAATGAATCATCCATTTGAGGAACCAGAAAGCGTCTATGCGGTTTCTTGGAAGTTTGTTTCCTCGATAGAAGTGCTTCCGCTCAGGGTTTTCTCGTGCTTCTTTTGGGTGACTGACAGCTGTACACCGTAGGTGCACCGCAGATGATTTTTTAGTGATTTTTACTTTTCATAACTAATTAATCAAATCCAATCTCTACCTTGTGTATGTGGTTAGGTCTTCAACTCGCCTTTCCACTCATTTTTCCACACTTTTTTTGTAGCTGCAAGTCCAAGAAATGGTCAGAACAAGCTGCTGCGCTTGTCTGTCTACAGTTTTTGGGACTGTCAGATGGAAAATGCTCGGAAACAGATGTTCCAACATGAAACTCAGACGTTTATATCGTGGATCAAATATATTTTCTACGCACGCCTCTTGCTTTTGTGTCCCTCTTTGAAATAGCATTTGCGAGTTTCAAGGTGCTTTCATATGGTGTTGATTTCCTGGATCTTCTGCCTTAAACTGCATCATGACTGATTCAGAAACTGATTCACCTTCGTCGGCGTTTGAAAGGGTCAGATTCGTGGTTTGCCTTTGTATGGCCCCCATTTGTGGTTCATGACTTTCGGCACAATGTCTGTACATAGGGGCTGGTTTCCGAAAAGTATTTGCCAAAAACCTTTGAGGCATCACATCATCCTGTTTCGAATCTAAGTGAGCGAGATTGACGCTGTTCGATTCACCAAGCTGTTGAATCTGTAGGAAACTGCTGCTTCTACCTGTTAAGCACGTCTTTTTTGCGTTCACCTCTCTTCCTGATACTTCAGTGGCTGATGCGTTGACTATATTTGAAAACAAAAAATCAACCACTGGTTGTCTGCAATACCCACTTGAACCAAATGGAGTGGATGGGAGATGTCAACCATCCAGTGAGGAGACCTAGAGTGTCTGAACACTGAGTGGTTTATCTCCTAAATAGACTAACTGACATTTTACACACGGGATTCTGATACACGCCTATTAGCCTAAGTGTCAATCCATCACAAGTGTTTTGAGAGTTATTGAAACGTGATGAATGAAAGTGACATAAGTGTTGTGAAGAAACTGCGTATCCTGGTCTTCAAATTGGCCACCAGGTGCTTCGTTAGAAGCTGCTTACTATTGGCCTTTCTGTTTACACTAGAGATTGTGGTTCGGTTCGTTATAATGCTGTGTGATAGATCAGTAGTTCCTTAGTTCATGAGTTGATAGACGTGGCGTCACCCTTCTTGTTGTATCTCGTGGGTCGGTCCCCGAAATATGTACTCACTTTCGTTTGCTCCGCCTAAAATATCTGGACTCGAGAGACTCCAACGGTTGGCACGGGACTACTGCTCCCCTGGGCCTGAGCAACCTAAAATTATCTCAGTCATCATGCTTTATTCGGGATACACGCAGCTATGGCACAATTACCCGATTATACTAACTTATTTTATACTTGAAGGTCTTAAAGTGAGAAGTCCAGGTCCACGTGTCACGAACGCAAAGACTTATGGGAACAGATCCGAACCGCCAAACTATTGCTGTACGAGTTGACCTGGCGAAGATGCTTGCTCTCGCTTGTGCACCAGGACGTCGCGAGTGACTTTCCGCGGCTCTGCCTAATTGATTAATAGTTGGTAGCTGTCAGAGACGTTAGTAGTCTCCTCTAGTGAATTCCACAATGTGCCAGATGTTCACATCGTCCAGACATCCGGATGACTTTGATGTAAAGTGTTATCAAGCAATAGGAAATTTATTGGATTTTTAGTGGAGATTTGTTTCCGTGGGTGAAGTTAGTCTGTGCCGAAAAGCCGAGAAACACTATGAGGCAACGGTGAACATCTCACGAATCTCCAGGGTGATTCGAACTCCCGGCCAGTAGTTGAAGTCTAGATCGTTCGACCACAAGCGGTTAATCGGCAGGGTGACTAA